AAATTAAAAGCTAAAGCTTATTTCTCCTTTGTGTACACCTATGAACAAAGGTTCAGTACTGTCTTAGATTAGGTGAATTTTTAGGGTTTATTATATGCAGAGTTTCAGTTCTAGGAGTAAAGGTACTCGAATTGTCCTTGTTGATAACCCCTTGGGCTGTCAAAACCCTCAATCCTAGTCCATTACAGACTTTAAGCGGATCGAGTTCAATTCGAGGGGACACATTTCTCTATGACTGACACGGAGAATAAATTCTCACGAAGACATAGAGCATATGAACCCCGAAAGTTACTTGCTAGGCCTGACACGGAGAATAAATTCTCACGAAGACGTCGCTTTCACTCCCACTTAAAAGGGACAAACTCAATTATAGAGCTTTGTGTAATGCAAGTGTTGTGTGTGAGGAGAAATGTTCAAACCTCTAACAGAAAAATAAATAATAAAATAAAATACTTGCAAATAAAATGAAATATTAATAAGAATATATAAAAACTATAAAAATATAAATATAAAAAATTTGAAAAGAAAGAATTATAAATTAAATATATGAATTTTTAATTTATAATTAATAGAGACAATTTAAAAGTTTGACCAGTCCCCAGCGGAGTCGCCAAGCTGTCGTAACCGGTTTTGGTCCGGGTACGAAATATTTATTTGGCGGTGAAATTGATGTGAATAAATGGTTTTGAAAATAATTTAGGAGTCGCCATCGGCCTTTTGGGTCAGGTAGGTCGAATACCTAAAAAATATCTTTTAAAAGAGTTTTTAAGAAAACATCAATTAAAAGATAAACTGATCTGCGTTTTAACCAAAAATTCGTTTTTTAATAATAAAAAGGGATTCGTGGTCGGTTACGTTTAGGGAAGGATTAGCACCCCTACAACGCCCAAAATTGGTACTTTTTAATTATAAATTGTCTCTAGTATTAAAATTAAAAATTCAAAAATATATTTAATTTATAATCATATTATTTCAAAATTATATAAATAATATTTATTTATTTATTTAAAAATATTAGAAAAGAACTTCTAGGTGCCTTAAGACAGCTCTTTTCTTTGATATTAATAAAATTGATTTTAAATAAATTAAATAATTTTTAATAATATTTAATTTTAAAATACCAGAATAGGACATCCAGTTATATTAAGACTGTCCTTTTCTTCGATATTGAAAATATTAAATAATTTATTTTAAAAATATAAATTATTATTTATCATATATATTTATGACTATAATAATAGAAAAATATTTAAATATAAACAATTAAAACAATAAAAATACAATTAGAACGATATATTCAAAAGCAATAAAATAAATGAAAACATTTAAAATTAGTGACTAAATTATAGTAAAATTAAAATTAAAAACCTAATTCATAATTAATCAAAATTATAGGGTTTAAACATGTTATTTTCTTATTTTATTAATTTAGTGACTAAAATAAAACTATATAAAATTCGGATAATAAATTAAAATAAATTAAAAAATATAAAATCGGTATTAAAATAATAATTAATAAACCATGAGGGACTAAATTTGATATTTACCTAAATATATATATATATATATTCTGATAAGGACTAAATTAAAATAAAATAAAATTAGAAGACTAAATTAAAATAATCAAAAACTACTTTCAGTGACTAAATCGTAAGGATTACAAACTATAGTGACTGCGGAAATGGTTTACCCATGATGGAAATTACACAGATACCCCTCCCCAAAACGACGTCGTTTGGAGAGGAGTTTAAATATTCAAAATGGCCGGCCCTACGGGCCAAATTTCTCATTTCTGTTTCTCTTCTTCTCTCTCTCAAAAATAACTTTCTCCCTTCTCTCTAGTTTCTCTCAACAGAGAGATAGCCGGCCGTTGACCACCACCATCGCCGGCCACCGTGAGCGGTGGCCGGAACTCCCAAATACCCCCAAACTAAAGCTATGAATACCCTAAGACCGATTCCAAACTTCTTTTCTTCTAAAAAGCTGTAAAATTACCTAGATCTATGGAAATACGTTCGGTATTTCGGCTTCTTTAGTGGCTCGTGTAGGTTCCGATGGCCGTGCTCCTTCCTCGGTAAATGCTTCTCTTCTCTTTTCTCTTAGTTTTTTTTTCTTTTGGTTTCTGTTGATGTGTTCCTTGTTACTGCATCTCTCTCGTTTTTTGTTGTGGCTGTCCTCTCCCCTTTTTTTCTTTCTTGCAGGTTCAGTGGTGGCTTTTATAGCCACCACAGTGTACTCCTCGGACCGGTCCGATCTAGCATCTTTGGTGAGTCACCAAGCTATGGCGGTGACTCACCATAGAGCACTGATTTGGTGAGGCAGCTGGCCTCTGGAAAGCTCGACGAGGTCGGCGTCGTGGAAGCAACAGCGTCGGCAGCAACTGGTTGGACCATCTGGCATCAGAGAGTCGGTCGTCGGGGTGGCTTCAGGGGTGGCGCCGCATCTGGAAACGGCTGGCTGCTAGGGTTAGAAACCCTAGGGTTTTCCATCTGGAACCTTTTTGGGCCGTTGGATCTTGCCAGATCCAACGGCTGATGATGTGGATGGCGGCTGGGGGCTAGGGTTTGAAAACCCTAGCTGAAACCCCAAATTGATTCAGGGTTTCCATTTGGGTTTGGGATTTGAATGTAATTGGGCTGTGATTTGGGCTTTGTAATATTTAAATAATAATAATATATAATATTAATAATAATAATAAATAATAATAATAATAATTATAATAATAATACTAATAATAATAATAATAATTTTAATAATAATAATTTTAAATGAAAAAATTGATGTCTACATTACTTGTACAGTGTTTGTTCCTGTTTCCTCTTCATTGCATGCGATCAGATGGTTCCCGCACTTCTCAGTTATATGTCCATACTTCCCGCATTTACGACGAATTTGTTATAGGCCCTCGTACTCCAAATTCCTTATCACTCCATCAATACATATACTAGGTATTAAGGGTTTGTTCAAGTCTACCAATACGACTAATCTTGCATACCTTTCTCTTTTTCCGGCATAGATCTTAATCTTATAATCAATCTTGATTACCTTTTCGATTATTCCAGCAATGTGTCTAAACAGAGATTTTGAATAATAGCGATATTGTAGCTGTGGGATTCGTACCCAGACGATAACGTGGGATGGATAGCTTTCGGTGGTCGAGAAAGTCCTACTCCAAGACTGGATTGTTAAATACCTACCATAGACTGTATGTACCTTCCGTTAGAACATACACATAGTCACTCTCCATCTCGAACATTATTATGTAGTAATCGTTATCAAGATCGACTACCTGATATTTCCCTTTGGGTTTCCACAGTAATTGAATTCTTTCCAGTAGGGTTTTATATCCTATATTCCTATTCTACGCCCCAGAAGTCTGACTATGATAGATCTTCTCATACTTTGATCGATACGATCATGAACTTTTTCTGAGAATTCTACCGATGGTATTAGACCGCTTGTGTCAACAACTACCTCCGAGTCGCCATGATGATATTGTCTAAACTTGGTACTGCTTTCGTGTCGGTGTTTGGTTTGTTTTTGGATGCCACCGCTCCAGCATATGTCATAGGTTTCTTGGTGATGTCTTTGAAAGCTGCAGTTTCTTCATTGTTTTCATTATTTCCCTATAACTAATCCCTCTTCGTTCCTGGCATTCTTCCAATCGCAGTTGTTCTCCAAAGGAGAACCTTGTCCCTTTAGTACTGCGAGGGTCTCCATTGAGATTTCTTTCGTTATGCTTCCGGCCTTAGAAAAATCAGGTGGTTCTACCGGTAGTATCAGACTACGAACTATCGGAGGGCAAGGTTTTGCGAGGGTGTACGCTGAAGATTACGTTAGGGTTTTCGTTGAGGTTTTCCATCAAACTTAAACTAGATTGGATATTGTTAACTAGTGTGTTGGACGCAAGATTTATAGTGGTTCGACTTTCTCAACCAAATCCTACATCCACTACCTTAACTCCACACTAAGGATTTTAACAAATTCACTAATTTGTTCTTTTTTTTCCTAGGTTCAAGAGTAACCTTTACAATTCTCTAGTTTTTCAAGGTTCAAGAGTAACCTTTACAATTCTCTAGTTTTTCAAGGCTAAACTATAACCACTCTCTTTTTACAAAGGATAAGAAATATAAACAAGAAACCTCACAAGGTAGGTGTTTACAAAGATTTAAGCTCACAAGAATAAAAATAAAAGATATTCAATTAAGCTCTATACACTTATGTACAAGAGAAAAATGAATGAAATAAAAATGAAAACTCTTTTCTCTTGATCTCTAAGCTTGGATAGGTATAGTTTTCCTTCTTTAAGTGTCTTGAACTTGTTTTTATATGTTGTAATGAGTTACCACTGTTTTTAGCCGTTTGGGAAGGTTTGAAGCTGTTGAAAGATTTTCTGCCCACACAATTTTGAAACTCTGGGAAAATTTCAAAACTCTGGGAAAGTTTCGAAACTTTTCGAAAGAGTCATTGGAAAAATATAATCGTTGAAGCCAAAGTATCGAAACTTCAGGGAAAGTTTCGAAACTTTTTGAGAAATTGTCTTGGAAAGTTTCGAAACTCTTCAAAATACTCATTTTTAAGGTTTTGATTGGACTTTGAATTATTTTTGAAAACTTTGAATAAATTCAATTTAGTCCAACAAACATTTTGTCCTTATTTGTTATATAAAAATATAAGTTCTACATAGTGTCATAAGAAAATACTTTTTATAATAATTAATTGAATAAACTTGAATTAAATAAATACAATAATTTACTTAATATATTAATTCTAATATTTAAGACACTAGTCAATAAAATAAGCCAATTAAATTTCACAAATAGATGACATGGCCATGAGGTAAAGCTGTCTTAGGTTAGGAGCCGGCTCAATATATTTATATTACCAAAATGTCCCCATTCAGCTACTCGACACTTCCGCATCCGAAGCACAACGAACCATGGGCAATTGGTCATTTTATCGAACCAGATTTCGTTCCCGATAAAAACACAGGCTCGCTTTCGACCTCCGTGGCCATGTACGAACTTTCCGCTTTGAATTTTGAGCTTCGAATCAATCACGTAAACAAAATTTCGTGCCCATAATTTAAAGAATCTAATTATCTTGCTAAATAATTACGGCCTCCTCAATAACCTCTTCTCGCGATTCACCGAAGGTAGATTTTACTTACATTATTTATTCCAAGCTTTAGGGTTCTCTTTTTTTACTATTAATCTTTTTGTTTATTTGATTTACTACTTATTTGAGTTTCTTTTCTAATTTTCGTTTTGATTTATTTGTCCACTTTTTTCTGCAATTTTTATTAGTATTTTTTTATTTATTTTCTGGTCAATTGTCGATGTTGGATGAATGAAGTATCATTTGATGTATAAGCGAGGACTTGTAGGATAAGTTGGTAAATTTGAAGCTTAGACTGGATTTACTGTGTTAAATACTGCATTTTATGTGAGGAAGCTGTATTACGTTGATTAGTCAAAAAAATGATGAAATATTGAGGAATTTAAGTGAGATGAAATTTTGTTTGTCTTGTTGTCTGCTTCAATATTGGCTTGAATTTAATTGAAGTAAGGAAAGTGAAGTTGAAGTCAATTATATGTATCCTTGTGTTATGGTTAAAACTGTTAGGAGCAGAAGAGCAATGTTGATTAGGAAATAATTAAAATGAGAATGCTGCTCTTACTGATTGCTCTGATCTAGAAGTATCTTTAATTTGAAATCACATTGAATTCAACCAGTTAAATAATGCTGTTCATCTTACGTTATAATCTCGACGAAATGATATTTTATTTATTTGTATATATTATATTACATTGAATTATATATACATTCATACAGGCTATTGATCAACTGGAGCGTTTAGCTAAATAAATGTCAGTGTTCTTCTGCTCAAATTTGGTTAATGTGCTGAAATTTATTTGCTGGGCTCACTTTTTTTGAACTATGATTCTATATTAAGTCATAATATGTTAATGAAAAACAGCCTTAGTAGCAATTTTTATTTTGATGCATGAGAGCTGATTTTACATGGAGGAGTTGTATAGGTTCGAAACTTGTTTAAATAAAAGGCAAATTGAATGGGTGGTTTAATCACAATTTTATTTTATATGGGTTTTACTGGCGAGTACCTAAGGAATTTTTATAGAAGACTATCTATATTAAATGTAGTAGTAGACTATTAATGCAACGATTTCCTAAGCATTGGAGAAAATATTGCATAAAAATCCTTGTATTCACTGCTTTCATTTATTGCATTTATGTGAGCTACTGGAGTACCCTCTTTAAACCTTTGGGAACTCTTACTGTCTTGTAATGAGACGGTAAAAGGATTATTGGCACAGTCTGTGGAAGGTGATGAGTGTCGTCTTGGTTCCACGACCTTCGATATTTCTTTCTAACTACTGTTGATTATTTTATGGCTTAGCTTTAATTTGCTACTTCTAGTTGTATTTTTTTTCTCTTATAAAAAGTGTATTTTTTGTGTTTGCATTATGCATAAAACAGCATGAATTTTGATGTAGCATTGAGTGTATTTTTTCTAATATGTAATTTTCATGCTTATCCTTAGTTTTTTCTCATGTGCAGATACGTAGTCCATTAAGAGTTTAAATAGGCCTTTTTTTGCTGTTCTCCTACTATAATGCTCCGATGTATTTATTGGCCTCATAAAATTGTGGATTTGCAAAATCTGATCCAGTGGCGATATCCAGCAAGTTTGAGCATTCTGCTGGTAGCCCAGACAAGCCACTGTATATCAGCGGACAGCGTGGAGCCCTCTTAGCTGCTCAATTAGACAGATCAGGTGGCTTTCGTGAGACCATGGAGAATCAGATTCTATCTTCTATGCCAAGTATGTTGAGAAGCAGCTCGGTAGCCGCCCAAGGAGATTTATCTAAATTCTTCCAGTGCTTGCGTTTTGATCCCAAGGTGGTTGCTGCTGATCATAAGTCTAATCGTCAAGGAGATTTTAAACGGTACATTATTGTAGCTTTTGGCCTTTCTGCCAGTGAATCTCCTACCCCATTTTCAAAAGGCAAGCTCCTTCCTTCTCCTATTCCAGACGAAATCAAAGGAGTTAAGGCTGGTCTACGGGATTGCTCTATCAAAGCAAGGTATTCCTTGTAAATTTTGTACTTTGGATCTTAGATGTCATTAGTTATTAAAGTAAATCAGTTAACAGGGAGCGAGTGAAAACTTTCAATGAAGCCTTATCAGTATTCAACAAGTTTTTCCCAAGCATACCATCTAAGAAGAGATCTCGATCAGAAAGCTTTTCTAATGACCGGTCTAATGCCTTGATATCTGGTGACCGGTCAGTCTTGAGCCCTTCTATTGGTAAGATGGGAATGCATAATAATTCCATTGCTGGAGGTCTTGAATTTGAACAGCAGAAGTCAGAAGAAAGGCCTAAAAGTGCTATTCCTAATAAACGTACTCGGACTTCTTTGGTGGATGTGAAGGTTTGCATCTGTGATATCTTCTATCTTTGTGCCAATTTGCATGTGGCTTGCCTTTATTTTTATTTTTCCGTCCCTATCTCTTGAAGAATTTAAAATTTGTTCTAATGGATCTAGATGGATATACGGAATAATGCTTTAGTCAGGCAGCTTAGTAATGCAGATAGAGATAAGGAAATGCTCAGGGTTTCGTACGGTGGCTCAGTTCATGGTGAAGAGCGAACTTTATCTGGTGGTGCTGATGGATGGGAAAAGACAAAGATGAAGAAAAAGCGTTCTGGGATAAAAGCTGATGTATCTCCAAGTATTGTATCAACTAAACTTGAAGGGCTTCGGGAATCTAAACAGGGAATTCAACAAAGTGTCGAGAATATCTAAATTAAATATTAGGATTGTTAACTAGATATTTTATTCTATTAGTTATTTGATATAATCAGTTTTAATTAGATAGAATCAGTTTTTTATTCTGTTAGTTATTAGATAGGATCAGTTTTAATTAGATAGAATCAGTTTTATTATGTTGCTAATTTTATGCATCTTTTTATGTAAAGTTGTTACATTGTAAACTCTATTTAATTCAGTTATATTCGGCAGAAATAAAATAGATTCATTCGGAACAAGTTTTTTTGACTTTATGGTATCCGAGCCAGAAATGGCCAAACCCTACGATGATACCTCTGGTATCACCCTAAACACTAAATCCTTCCAAAACATATCTATCACTTCTCATAAGTTGAATGGAAATAATTTTTTACAGTGGTCATAATCTGTGAAACTGTTTATTCGTGGTCGTGGAAAATTCGACTATCTCTCAGGTATCACTACGAAACCTGCCGAAGAAGATGAAGAATCTGAAAGATGGGAGGAGGCAGAAAACTCGATGATTTTGTCTTGGCTCATAAATTCTATGGATCCGAGTGTAGGGAGAACTTATCTCTTCCTACCTACTGCTCATGACATTTGGAATGTTGTGAACAAGACATATTCTGATCTCAGAACGCAGGACAATGGTTTGAGCTAAAAACTCGGTTATGGAGGCTAAAACAAGGAGAAAAAAATGTCACTCAATACTACACCGACCTCAAGACTGTAGGAATTATAGAGATGATTTGTTACCATTCCTATAGAGATATGATTTTGTAAATAGATTTCTACAATGCCTTATTTTAAAGGATCATATCCTAAGATTATTATTTTTCCTTTCTTAGAGTTTCCTACTTTAGAGAGAGCTTTTGTATATAAATATGTAATCTGTCATATGTAATCTGTCATATTGAAAAGAATAAGAAATTACAGAGAATTACTCTGATTTCTACATGGTATCAGCTTAGGTTACGATTTCTTTCCAACCTAGATGATGTCCACAACTTCTTCTCCTACTCCGGAGATCACTTCAAATCCAGAAAATTTTTCTGGTTTTGCTGCTCAATCAGAAGGTAATATGGTCATGAAAGAACCAAAAGGTAAACCTCATGCTACAGTTTTTTTCTCCTCCCAGTCGTCCCTTAATTTGATCCTCGATTCTGGTGCTACAGATCATATGACTGGTAATAAGGATTTGTTTTGCAATTTTTTTCCAAACTTTGGTAAAGCTGTCAAAACGGCTGATGGTTCTTTGTGCAAAATAGAAGGACATGGCACTATTATTCTCAATGACCAGATTGTACTTAAAAATGTCCTCTTCATACCAAATCTGGCTTGCAATCTCGTTTCCGTTAGTAAACTTTCCACCGACTTGCACTGCTCTGCAATTTTTAATGATATTGATTGTACTTTGCAGGCACTGAACTCGAAGAAGATGATTGGTAAGGCCAGCTTGCAGAATGGTCTCTACATTCTTCCTGCCTCTACTAAAACCGAAATCTCGAAATCTTTCACCGCTTTAGAAAAAGTTGATAATGTTATGTTATGACACTATCATTTAGTTCATCCTAGTTTTCACTATCTTGCAAAAGTTTTTCCTGCTCTATTCATTCATAAAAGGCCAAATTCTTTTTCTTGCAAAGTTTGCTCTCTTGACAAACACACTAAATCAACTTATTCTCCTTCTACATATAAGCCTTCTCACCCTTTTGTTTTGATCCACATTGATATTTGGTGTCCTTCTCGGGTGAAGAATGCTGATAATTGTAAGTGGTTTATCACTTTCATTGATGATCGCAGTAGGATAACTTGGACTTATTTGCTAAAAGATAAATCTGAAACTGCAAGTGTTTTTACCCAATTTTATAACATGGTTCTCACTCAATTTGGGTCTAAAATTCAGCTCTTTAAATCTGATAATGGCAGTGAATTTTTTGCTAAGTCTTTGGGTGCGTTTTTCAGGGAAAAGGGCATAGTTCAGATTAGTTCTTGTGTTGACACCCCACAACAAAACGGTATTGCCGAAAGAAAAAATAGACACCTCCTTGAAGTTACTCGTTCTCTTCTATTTACCACTAATGTTCCAAAATATTTGTGGGGGGAAGCCTTATTAACTGCCACATATTTAATCAATCGAATGCCTAGTAAGGTTTTACAATTTCAAACACCTCAATCTATATTTTTGTAATACTTTCCCCATTTTAAACCTATCTCCTCCATTCTTCCACTTAAAATATTTGGTTGTACTGTTTTTATCCAAAACATTGCTCCTAATAAGTCCAAGTTAGATCCTAAATCATTAAAGTGTGTACTGGTTGGATATTCTTCACTTAAGAAGGGTTATAAATGCTATCATCCTCCTTCAAAACGATTTTTTACCATTATGGATATAACATTTTATGAGCAGGATCTCTATTTCACTCAGGCTGAAATTCAGGGGGAGACATGGAAGGATTTTCAGCCACATCAAGTATCTCCTCCTACTCTTCATTCTCAAACTTCAGAATTGCCACCAATTTTGTCCTTACCTACAGATTTGTCACCTGTAACTACTCCCATTGATCCACCGGTAGTACCTATCACTACTTCACCCATACCCAATTTAAATACCCTTCCTGAAAATACACCTACTCCCATTCAAATTATTCCACAAACAACACCAATCAAACAACTCCGTTTTTATACAAGGAAAAGAAAACATATTCCTGAGGTTGTTTTGCAATCTGATGCTTGCCGAGAATTGGATTTGGGTCCAGCTGCCGAAATAGAAGAAGAAATCAGTAAGTCCACTTCCCCTACTCTAGATGACTTCCCTATTGCTATTAGAAAAGGGGTTAGACAGTGCACCAAGCATCCTATTGAAAAATTTGCTGGTTATAATTCATTGATGTCGTCTTTTCAAGTATTTACAGCAAACTTGGATAAAGAACAGGTTCCCACAAGCATAGCTGAAGCTCTAAAGGATTCAAAATGGAGAAGGGTTGTTGAAGAGGAAATTTGTGCACTGGAGAAAAATGCTACTTGGACTGTTACGGACCTTCCTCAAGGAAAAAAGGTTGTTGGCTGTAAATGGATCTTTACTGTAAAGTATAACTCAAATGGTAGCATACAACGATACAAAGCGAGACTAGTGGCCAGAGGCTTTACACAAACATATGGGATAGATTTCACAGAAACTTTTGCACCTGTGGCGAAGATGAATAATGTTCGAGTACTCCTAAGTTTGGCTGTAAATTGCGATTGGAAATTACACCAACTTGATGTAAAAAACGCTTTTCTTAATGGAAAGCTAGAAGAAGAAGTCTATATAAAGTTGCCACCTGGCTTAAAGTCTGTTGAAGGAAGTAACAAGGTGTGCAAGCTCAACAAGTCTCTATACGGGTTAAAACAATCACCCAGAGCTTGGTTCGAGAGGTTCACTAAAGTCATCCTAAAAACGGCTACAAGCAATCCCTCGCCGATCACACTGTTTTCATCAAGGTAACTTCTACAAATAAGAAAGCTATCCTTATTGTGTACGTGGACGACATAATTCTTACCGGAGATGATGAAGAAGAGATTTGCAATTTGAAGAAGTTGTTAAATAAGGAATTCGAAACCAAGGACTTGGGAAAGCTAAGGTATTTCCTAGGAATGGAGGTGGCAAGGTCAAAAGAAGGACTTGTGATCAACCAAAGAAAATATGTACTTGATTTACTCAAAGAAACTGGTTTTCTTGGTTGTAAGCCGATTGATACACCAATGGAGGCAAGCTTAAAATTTAACAAAGAAGATGGGTCATTGGTAGACAAAGAGAAATTTCAAAGATTAGTTGGGAAACTAATTTATTTACCCTTGACAATGCCAGATATAGTATTTCCTGTAAATGTGATAAGTCAACACATGACTAATCCTACTGAAGAGCATATGGCAGCAGCAAATAGAATTCTCAAGTACTTGAAGAAAACTCCAGGACACGGTTTAATGTTTAAGAAGACACAAGACAGAACTGTTAAGATCTTTACAGATTCTAGTTGGGCCGGAAACCTTACTGAAAGGAGATCCACTAGTGGCTACTGCACCTTTGTTTGGGGAAACCTTACAACTTGGAGAAGTAAGAAACAATCTGTCGTTTCAAGAAGTAGTGCTGAAGCTGAATTTAGAGCACTAGCATTGGGAATATGCGAAGGAATTTGGCTACTTAAACTACTGAAAGAACTTATCACTAATCAAGAGGATCACTTTGAAGTTTTGTGTGATAATCAATCTGCTATTCAAATTGCCAAGAACCCAGTTCAACATGATCGGACAAAGCATGTTGAGATTGATAGGCATTTTATTGCTGATCAAGTTAACAAAAAGACAGCCACACTTTCATATATTCCTTCAGAAGAACAAGTTGCAGACATTCTTACTAAGGCTTTGTCAAAGCCTGTTTTCAATAAATTCCTATTCAAGCTGGGATTATACAATGTATATTCTCCAGCTTAAGGGGGAGTGTAGGAATTATAGAGATGATTTGTTACCATTCTTATAGAGATATGATTTGTTACCATTCCTATAGAGATATGATTTTGTAAATAGATTTCTACAATCCCTTATTTTAAGGGATCATATCCTAAGATTATTATTTTTCCTTTCTTAGAGTTTCCTACTTTAGAGAGAGTTTTTGTATATAAATATGTAATCTGTCATATTGAAAAGAATAAGAAATTACAGAGAATTACTCTGATTTCTACAAAGACCTTGTGGCAAGAGGTTGACATGTTCAGCGACTACGAATGAAGTTGTGCTAAGGACAGGGCTCTATTCCAGACGATGGTGGAAAAAGAACGCATCTTTGAATTCCTAGTCGGCCAAGGAATTGGATAAAGTCAGAGGGCGCATTCTTGGTCGTGAACCACTACCAAGCACAAGAGAAGTCTTCTCCGAAGTCAGACGAGAGGAGAACCGGCGGACAGTCATGCTTGGAGGCCACACACCAAATCCCACCGAGTCTTCTACCTTGTTCTCGGGTCAGCCACCACGTCGCAACGA